AGAAGGACATTACAGAGGAGACCGTACCACAAAGTGTGGATATCAAAGGTAGCTACCAAAATTTCAGCACTTAATCAGTTGTAAAATTTTCCTCTTTTTGTGACCTTCTGGTAGGTTGTTCTCCTAACATAAACATTTTCTCTTTAAAAAAAAACAATAAAGTTCTTGGAAGTTATAAAATAAATCGATGGATTCTTAAAATCTCATGAAAATCTAATTTTGTTAAAGGCAAATTTTTCAAATTTTGATCAACCATAAACTTTCCTTGAGGTTATGTGAGGCCCCACACAAAATTGGGGCCAGACCGGTTTAAGCCGTTTTTTTTATGTTTATTGGATACAAACAAACAGACAGACAGACAAGCAAAGTTATGTAAATGTACAACCTTACAACTCTTCCAAGTGTCTTTATCAATGTAACATTCAGTATTCTGCACCCTTGATAATGGCTTAGGTCTAGTTCATGTGCTATTATAATAATGCTTTATTATAGATTTTTATACTGAATTATGAATATCTATTTTAACTATTTATAACACGGTTATTTTGGTTCGCAGTGATATAAAGGTTTTGGACAGACATTTTCTCTTTATCGAGAAGGTTCAAGCCTTTTAAGATTTAATTTTGTCCCGAGCTTGAGCTCTCTATAAGATCAAATTATAAGCTTTGAAACAAAGCAGAAGTCAAAATATAAAGATGATTTCAATTTTATTTTAATTTCAATTGAAAAAAATAAATTTTGGAAATATCCTAAATTTTTTGGAGAAAATCCGGAAACCAATCAAAACTTTATAGCACACATGCTATGATGTACAGCTAATAAAACTTTTTAGCATGATGACTACTTTATAGCACGTTCATTATGAAAGTGAGTAAGAATGATAAAGTACACTATAGTTTTATAAAATCCAAAGACTTTGCTAATTATAAAGACGAGGCGTTGGAAATTTATCCGACTATTGTGTACGCCAGTACAGCTGTATTTTGACGTCATTGGTTATTTTGGTTGTTTGAGAGTCTAGCGATTGACATTAAAACCTTAGATTTTTAACACAATTGGGAATTGATACTTTTTACATTTTTTCGTTTTTTTTCTTTACTTGAAAAATTGTATGTTTTTAGTGTTTATAAAACTGATGCAAACCTAATGAAATACGTATATTTTCGTAAATTTCATAGAAAGTATTTTTACGTATTTTTTTCTTTACTTGAATTTTTTTTAGAGTTTATAAGTTACAAACCTTAATAATACGTATATTTTTGTATGTTTCATACAAAGTAATTAGGTTTCTATTTTAAGCTTTTTAAAGTATTTTTTTTTCGGTTTTTTCTTTACTTAAAAATTGCATTTTTTAGAGTTTAAAAGTTTGAGGCAAACCTAAAAATACGTCTATTTTCGTAAATTTCATACCAAATAGTTTTTTAAGTTATTAGGTTTTTATTTTACGTATTTTTACGTATTTCTTTGGTTTTTTCTTTACTTTTTTTAGAGTTTAAAAGTTTGAAGCAAATCTAAAAATAAATTTAAATTCGTAATAAAAGTTTTTAGGTTTTTATTTTGCGCATTTTTACGTTTTTTTGTTTTTTTTTCTCTGCTTAAATTATTTTTTATAAAAGCCTATATATATTCATGAAACCTTTACTGCACAAAAATGCATTTTAAATTATAACTTAATTAGTTAATGGAACTAGTTGTATGGATACCTATAGCCATTATCTTCTTAACATTTTGGTTTTAGAACTTGATGATGCCTTCAAAATATGTATTTTTTACGTCAAGGGAAAACCCTAAAATTCCTAATTCATTGGATTTTTTAGGTTTTTTACATACGCATTTTTACGTTTGTCATATATACGTATTTTTATGGATTTAAAATACGTATTTTTACCAAGGAAATGATAACGAAAATAGGAAAACATTAGAAATTCACAAATAAATATAAAAAATAAAACTTTATGATATTTTTGCTTATAATTAAACTTACAAAAAAATATTGCAACCTCTTTGTTTTAGCATTATTAACTTGATACGTACTTTTAAAAACTACACTGCACTTACGCCCTCTGCCCCTTTAGTAAAAGTAAATTGAACCTATATGAAGCATAAAGTCTGACCACGTCAACCTTGTTGCACCGGCTAGTCCTGTCCATAGAGCTAGGTACAGTACAAACTGGGACCGGAAAGGTTGACCGGCTCTAATGTACTACGGCTGCCCTTGACTTGTTTCTCGTTTTAGTTTGAAAGGGGTAATTGGCAAAATGCTAATAGACGTATATGCTGCAAAGGTTGGACACTTTGAAATAGATTTGGGAAAAAAATAAAACTTCATGTTTTTCTTATAAAACTAATAATAACAAAATTTAACAAAAATCTAGAAATCTGAAAAGATAGAAACAATGGATAGATATATACTAGGCTTAGGTCGCTTCGCGCCCATCTTCTATTTAAATTGTGAACATGTTCTTTTTGTTTACATTTTAAAACAAAGAAGAAGAAAAAATTCGCGGATTTTTAAGAATTTAAATTTTTTACAAAATTAAAAACCTTTAAAACACATTTTTTAAATTTTTTATCATTCATGAACCTTCCCTGTGGTCACGTGATGTCCCACAAAAAATTTGGACCCAATCGGTTCAGCCGTTTTGACGTTTACTTGATACAAACAAACAAACAAACAAACAAACAAACAGACAAGCCAAATTTATATATAGACTGAAATTCAAGGCGCTTCGCGCCCTTCTTTCTTGGCTTTTAGGGCGCTTCGCGCCCATCTTCTATTTAAATTGTGAACATGTTCTTTTTATTTACATTTAAAAACATAAAAAAAATTTTGCGGATTTTTAAAAAAAAATTCGCGGATTATCAAGAATTTTTTTTTTTTTACAAAATTAAAAACCTTTAAAACATATTTAAAGAAAGATTGTAATTTAAAGACCCACGTGCAGTAATTCATACCGTAGGTCGTCAATCCTATCTTTAGAAAATATAATTCCTTGTTTCAACAGAAAAAGATATTTTATAAATCTTGTCTATAGAAAGTTTAAAATTTTCTCGCATGTCTCAAGATTATCTTCTGTTTAGCAAGTTGATGTCAAACCGATTTTATTCTCCGTCTTAAACACGAAAATTTTAAAATGGCGACCAACGGAAATATACATTTATTTACAAAAAACGGCTCTCTTTTAAACATGGAATTCCGCAAATTTTATATAATAGTAACTTAAATAAAAAAGATCACTTCACACAAAGATTTAAACTACCATATTTTTTAAAAAGTTTTGTTTAATGATTTTCCATATACTTTTATTTATTCAAATTTTGCAAACCAGTAATTTAAATTTTTCAAAATGTTGAGCGCAATTTTTAAGCTTTCATTGAAAAGGGAGAAGGGTGTAAAGGGAGGAAGGGGGGGAGGGAGGGGGGTGATTGAGATAAATTGTTATCCGCATTTGTAAAAGAATTATGATTGATAAACACGATTTCTCTCTTTACTTCTTCCTACGGTATCTGATATCCATTTAATAGGTTGTTAACCAAACCATATCTGCTTTAAGATCTAGACACATTAATTATACGCTCTAAATATGGAAACTGTGTGTCAGAAGAAACCTGAAGTATGACCGTCAAAACATGATAGAAAATTAAATCATAACAAAAGTATAAAAAACGAAAATCTACTTGTTAGATAACAGTAGTTTTGTTGCATATTTCCATACAGCTAAAACCTCAAATCTTGTCTAGAAATTTTAAAATAAGAGATTTAACGTGAATGCTTGATACCACTTTCTCTTACTCTTTAAACTAGACCGTAAAAACATTTATCTACATTAAGAATCTTTAAACAAAATATGAAAGAGTTTTTGTCCACAAGTATCATATTGGAGCCAAAATGAAGAAAAGTCGGAGAGAAGATTAAAACTAATTGGAGAGAGAAGATGAAGAATAGTTGGAGAGAAGATGAAGAATAGTCGGAGAGAAGATGAAGAATAGTCGGAGAGAAGATGAAAAATAGTCGGAGAGAAGATGAAGAAAAGTTGGAGAGAAGGTTAAAACTAGTTGGAGAGAAGATGAAGAAAAGTCGGAGAGAAGGTTAAAACTAGTTGGAAAGAAGATGAAGAAAGTCGGAGAGAAGATGATGAATATTCGGAGAGAAGATTTAAAAATAGCGGGAGAGAAGATTCAGAATAGTCGGAGAGAACGTGAAGAATAGTCGAAGAGAAGATGAAGAATAGGTTGAGAGAAGATGAAGAATAGTCAGAGAGAAGATAAAAATACAGCCAGAGAGAATATTAAGCATAGTCGGAGAGAAGATTAAGAATAGTCGGAGAGAAGATTAAGAACAGTCGGAGAGAAGATTAAGAATAGTCGGAGAGAAGATGAAGAATAGTTGCTGAGAAGATGAAGAATAGTCGGAGAGAAGATGAAGAATAGTCGGAGGGAAGATGAAGAATAGTCGGAGAGAAGATTTAGAAATAGCGGGAGTCAAGATTCAGAATAGTCGGAGAGAAGATGAAGAATAGTCGGAGAGAAGGTGAAGAATAGTCGGAGAAAACATGAAGAATAGTCGAAGAGAAGATGAAGAATAGTCAGAGAGAAGATTAAGAATAGTCGGAAAGAAGATGAAGAATAGTCGGAGAGAAGATAAGAATAGTCGGAGAGAAGATGAAGAATAGTCGGATAGAAGATGAAGAATAGTCAGAGAGAAAATGAAATATAGTCGAAGAGAAGATGAAGAATAGTCAGAGAGAAGATGAAATATAGTCGAAAAAAGGTGAAGAATAGTCAGAGAGAAGATTAAGAATAGTCGTAGAAAATATGAAGAACTGTTGCAGATAATTGAACAAATAAAGAATAGTCAAAGAGAAGATGAAATTTATTGAAAAAGAAGATGAAGAAAAGTCGGAGAGAAGATTCAGAATAGTCGGAGAGAAGATAAAATACAGTCGGAGAGAATTATTAGGAATAGTCGGAGAGAAGATTAAGAATAGTCGGAGAGAAGATTACGAATAGTCGGAGAGAAGATTACGAATAGTCGGAGAGAAGATAAAATACAGTCGGAGAGAAGATTGGGAATAGTCGGAGAGAAGATTAAGAATAGTCGGAGAGAAGATTAAGAATAGTCGGAGAGAAGATAAAATACAGTCGGAGAGAAGATTAGGAATAGTTGGAGAGAAGATTAAGAATAGTCGGAGAGAAGATGAAGAATAGTCGGAGAGAATATTAAGCATAGTCTGAAAGAAGATTAATAATAGTCGGAGAGAAGATTAAGAATAGTCGGAGGGAAGATTAAGAATAGTCGAAGGGAAGATTAAGAATAGTCGGAGAGAAGATTACAAAATATTGAATAAGATTCAAATCATAAACTAATATATTTGGTGGGGGAGAAGAGACTCAGTCTGAGGTCCCGTAGAAAGGGGAAGAGAGAGAGGCTTGGGATTCTGACAATTTTGAAGGTTACAAATATAAAGTTGTGGACAGAGGTGTACTTCGGAACCGGGAAAGATATACAGGCGATTAGCTTTCTCTTGAACCTTCTCCTGAACCTTCTCCTGAATCTTCTCCTGAACATTCTCCTGAACCTTCTCCTAAACCTTCTCCTGAGAGAGAGAGAGAGAGAGAGCAAGGTTGGGTATTTAAAGACCCAAGCTGAGTTTAGCGTTCCTCTCAGTTGGATTCCATCTCCTGCATTCTTCTCCTGGTCTACATTCTTACCCGGGGTTGATTAGTTCCTCTCAGGGGTAGCACGATAGCACGTGCACAGGGTATCCCAGAATATGTACTCTCAGCGCTTAGAAAACAAGAATTTATTTTTTAGACATCCATTCTTTTTTATCTTGAAGATGGATACAAGTTTTCATACTTTCTGCATTTTACTAGATCGAAAACAAAAATTGAAAGAATCTTTCAAAATCTAGAAATTTTTGGACATCTCTGCAATCAGGCATCTGCGCATTTTTTCATTCTATCCACACATACTAGAGCAAATTATCCTCATTAGACCCGTCATCTCATGGTGTTTTTTCTCCTGAACCTTCTCCTGAACCTACACCTGAACCTTCTCCTGAACCTTCTCCTGAACCTTCTCCTACACCTTCTTCTGAACCTTCTCCAAAACCTTTTCCGAAAACTTTCTTGAACCTTGTCCACAATCTTCTCTTGAACCTTCTCCTAAACATACTCCTTATCCTTTTTTCAAACCTTCCCCGTAACCTTCTCCTGAACCTTTTCCTAAACCTTCTTCTGAACCTTCTCTTGAACTTTTGACTGAACCTTCCTCAAAAACTTCTCCTGAACCTTCTCTGGACCTTTCATGAACCTTCTCCTGAACCTTCTCCTGAACCTTCAACTGAGCCTGAAATTGTATTGATTACAAGATACTTTTGAAAAAGTTTGAAACGCAGGAATTGTATCGATTCCATGATACTTTTGAAAAAGCTTGAAAACGCAGGAATTGTATTGATTACAAGATACTTATGAAAAAAGGTTGAAAACGCAGGAATTGTATTGATTACAATATACTTTGAAAAAACTTGAAAATGCAGGAATTGTATTGATTACAAGATACTTTTGAAAAAACTTTAAAACGCAGGAATTGTATTGATTACAATATACTTTTGAAAAAACTTGAAAACGCAGGAATTGTATTGATTACAAGATACTTCTGAAAAAACTTGAAAACGCAGGAATTGTATTGATTACAAGATACTTTTGAAAAAAGCTTGAAAACGCAGGAATTGTATTGATTACAAGATACTTCTGAAAAAAGCTTGAAAACGCAAGAATTAGGGGCAACACATTGCAATTGTTTGAGTCTTACTTACGCGGCAGGGGGCAAAAAGTCGATATACACATACATAGTACCTTCTCAGACTTATTCGAAATATAAGAGACTAGCTGCAGGGCTCGGCTCGGCGTTTTTTTAAATAAAAAAAAATCTTTCAATTTTTTATAGCTCAAGACACCCCCCGGCTACCCGTAAATTCAGCTCATTTGGTCCAGCCGTTTGGCCGGCTATAGGCAACATATTATATTGATGGGTCTTGTTCAAGGATCAAGTCTAAGCTATTTACTTTTTATTTTAAATATCTAACAAATGTAAAAGTTTCTAAAGTTGAAATAGATAAAGAATTAGAAAAAATAACTTGTTGGTACATGTCTAATAAACTTACTATTAACTTTGAGAAAACTAATGCAATATTATTTAAAAATTCCCTAAATGCACAAAACGACTGTCCCGATGTTTTCTTTAAATTAGGAGAGTCTACGCGAAGAATTAGACGCATAAAAGATACAGATTCAGTTAGATTCTTGGGAATATGGCTGGATACTATACTGAACTTTAATGACTATTTTAAAAAGATATACAGGCGATTAGCTTTCTCTTGAACCTTCTCCTGAACCTTGTCCTTAACTTTCTCTCTGAACCTTCTCTTGAACCTTCTCCTGAACCTTGTCCTTAACTTTCTCTCTGAACCTTCTCTTGAACCTTCTCCGAACCTTTTCTTCAACCTTCTCCTGAACCTTCTCCTGGACCCTTTACTTAAACTTTCTCCTGAACCTTCTCTAACCCTTCTCTTGAACCTTCTCCTGAACCTACTCCTAAACCTTCTCTTAAACCTTCTTTTAAACTTTCTCTTGAACTTTTCCTGAACCTTATCCTAAACCTTCTCCTCAAACTTTTTCTCTTTCAAACTTTTTATTGAAACAATAAAGGTACAGATCTGAGAAAATTGTGTAATAATGATAAAAACACACGAATATTCATTTATATATATATATACAAAAATGCTTCTCGCAAATTACTCTCTAATTTAAGGTATAGAATTTAAACTAGTAAAGACTTGACAACTCTGAGATCTGGAATAAGATCCTACATGAAATGAAAAAGGACCTCTTTTTTGATTATAATAGAAAATGGAAAATGGAAAAAGACTTCTCGTCTCCTCAAACTTAACCTTAACTTGTACCTTGTCCTAGACTTTCTCTTGTAAACCGTCTCTTCAACCATCTTATTCTTTTCCCGTTGATTTTAGAAATTACAGTTGTGTGGTACATTGTGTCAGATGAATATAGAAATGGTAGATTGAGGAGCTAGGTCCATATTTATTGTGAATAAATTCACTAACAAACAGGGTATTATGTAGAGCTCTAGATTCTAACATCTCAACTTAAATATTAACTTATTGATTTTTGTATTTTCATTATTCACACTGAGTAGGTGTCTGTGGTATCTATTTTAGAAATTGCCAAATTTTCTATTCTTGAATATATTTTCCTTTTTATTAAAATTAATAAAGCTTTCTCGGTCTTAGCAAAGTTAGTAATAATATGTCTTTGCCATGTAAAAATTCTTAAATAAGTGACACCTTACGGTCAAATATTAAACTTAAATATTTGGTGGGGAGAAGGAACCCAGTCGGAGGTTCCGTAGAAGAGGGAGGAGCAAGGCAGGTGTAGGACATTATTGATTCAATGGTGAGGGAACGAGGAACGAGGGGCTCGGGATTCTGGTAATTATGAAGGTCACAAATATAAAGTTGTAGACGAATGTTTACTTTGGGGGTGCTAGTGGAGGAGGGGGGGGGGGGCCTTCTTCTGGATCTTCTCCTAAACCTTCTCTCAAACCCTTCTTCTGAACCTTCTCCAGAACCTCAATCTTCTTCTCAATCTTCTCTTCAATTTTCTCCTGAACCTTCTCCTCAACCTTCTTCAAAGCCTTCTCTTGAACCTTTTCCTGAACCTTCTTCTAAACCTTCTCCTAAACCTTCTCCTGAACCCTCTCCTGAACCTTCTCCTGAATCTTCGCCTGAACATTCTCCAGTACCTTATCCTAAACCGTTTCCTGAACCTTCTCCTAAACCTTCTCTTGAACTTTCTCCTAAATCTTCTCCTGAACCTTTTCTTAAACTTTCTTCATAACCTTCTTGCCCATCTCCCAGTATTGAACTTGATTAAAATAGTGTGTTGTAAATTTACGACATTGAATATATTCCCTCTACATCGTCACCATACTAGAAAATGTATTTCCAACAAAAACTACGATATTTCCTTGACAGAATATTAATCCTCTTTCAAATCCACTTTTACAATTCCATGGTTGTATCCAATTCTCAATATGTATTTCTTTAATCCTACGTTTCAGACTCCTGTAATATCCTTTTGAGATATTGAAAATTTATAATTCTTGAATATATTTAACTTTTTATTAAAAGTAAGAAAGCTTTCTTGGTCTAAGCATGGTTAGTAATCAATAGTCTATGCTATGTTAAATTCATTAATAAGAGACACCTAACGGTCAAATCATAAACTACATATTTGGTGAGGGAGAAGAGACTCAGTCTGAGGTCCCGTAGAAAGGGGAGGAGAGAGGGGCTTGGGATTCCGACAATTTTGAAGGTTACAAATATAAAGTTGTGGACAGAGGTGTACTTCGGAACCGGGAGGGGGGGTTCTCCTGAACCATCTCTTGAACCTTCGCCTGGACCTTCTCTTGAACCATCTGCTGAACTTTCCCCCTAATCTTATTCGAAACCTTCTCCTGAACCTGTTCCTGGACATTCTCTCCTGAACCTTCTCCTGAACCTTCTGCCCAATCTTCTCCTGAATCTTTGACTGGCCCATCTCCTGGGCCTTCACCTGAACCTTCTCCTGAATCTTCTCCTGAACCTTTTCCTGAATCTTCTCCTGAACATTTTCATGAACCTTCTCCTAAACCTTCTCCTGAACCTTCTTCTGAACCTTCTTCTGAAACTTCTTCTGAACCTTCTCCTGAACTTTCTCCTGAACCTTCTCCTAAACCTTCTCCTGAACCTTTTCATGAACCTTTTCCTAAACCTCCTCCAGAACCTTCTCCTGAACCTTTACCTGAACCTTCTCCTAAACCTTTTTCTGGGCCTTTTCTTAAACTTTCTCCTTAACCTTCTCCTTGAACCTTCTCAACTTCACTTACTTTCAGTCCTTCCCCCCATTAATAATATAATTTACCCCCGTGAATAATGGAACTTACGGATTTATTAGTTCATCTATGGTGATTCTTGCAGATTTGGAACTCCCCTTAATAGAGAATAATCTCTTTAATAAAAATCCGTTAACATTTCAATTAACATATTAGCATTTAATCATCACTGTGAGTTATTCTTTCGCATTCTTAATAAGTATTTCTTTAATACTACTTTGCAGACTGCTGTGATATCCTTTTGAGATATTGAAAATTTATTATTCTTGAATATATTTTACTTTTTATCAAAAGTAATAAAGCTTTCTTGGTCTAGGCATGGTTAGTAATCATAACTGTTTTCCATGTTAAATTCTTAAATTAGAGACACCTAACGGTCAAATCATAAACTAATATATTTGGTGGGGGAGAAGAGACTCAGTCTGAGGTCCCGTAGAAAGGGGAAGAGAGAGAGGCTTGGGATTCTGACAATATGAAGGTTACAAATATAAAGTTGTGGACAGAGGTGTACTTCGGAACCGGGAGGGGGGGTTCTCCTGAACCATCTCTTGAACCTTCGCCTGGACCTTCTCTTGAACCATCTGCTGAACTTTCCCCCTAATCTTATTCGAAACCTTCTCCTGAACCTGTTCCTGGACATTCTCTCCTGAACCTTCTCCTGAACCTTCTGCCCAATCTTCTCCTGAATCTTTGACTGGCCCATCTCCTGGGCCTTCACCTGAACCTTCTCCTGAATCTTCTCTTGAACCTTTTCCTGAATCTTCTCCTGAACATTTTCATGAACCTTCTCCTAAACCTTCTCCTGAACCTTCTTCTGAACCTTCTTCTGAAACTTCTTCTGAACCTTCTCCTGAACTTTCTCCTGAACCTTCTCCTGAACCTTTTCCTGAATCTTCTCCTGAACATTTTCATGAACCGTCTTCTAAACCTTCTCCTGAACCTTACTCGTAACCTTCCCCGTAACCTTCTCCTGAACCTTTTTCTGAACCTGTACTTAAACCACTCTTAACCTTCTCCTTGAACATTCTCTTGAACCCTCTCCTGGACCTTTTAGCAAAATTTCTCCTGAACCTTAACCTTCTCTTGAACTTTCTTATCAACCTTCACCTAATATTCAACACTGGAATTCACGGGTGTGTATTATTATCTACGGTATTACACTGCAGACTTGGAAATCCCCCAATAAGAGTTTATATCTCTTGATATAGAAATAAACAATCACTACACAATCCACTCCATTAATGAGAGATTGTATTCCATTCTTAATATGTATTTCTTTAATCCTACTTTGCAGAATCCTCTCATATTCTTTTGAGATATCGAAAATTTATTATTCTTGAATATATTTTACTTTTTATTAAAAGTAATAAAGCTTTCTTTGTCTGAGCATAGTTAATAATAATAAGTCATTGCCATGTTAAATTCATAAATTAGAGACACCTAATGGTCAAATAATAAACTAACATATTTAGTGTGGAGAAGAGACTCTGAGGTCCCGTAGTAAAAGGAAGAGAGAGGGGCTTGGAATTATGAAGGTGACAAATACAATTTTGTGTACTATATGGGGTCGGGGAACCTTCTCCTAAACCTTCTCATGAATCTACTTTTGAACCTTTTCCTAAACCTTCTCATGAATCTACTTCTGAACCTTCCCCTTTTTAGTGAATAAATAGTTGAACCATGGGTATAGCTAATTCAACTACATCTATAGGGAATTCTTACTTTTAATATTTTTAACTATTTTTAAAAAGATTATCTGAAGATACATTAATGTTTACACCAAAAACCAACATGAGCAAAGATCAGTATCCGCTATCCACCCTGTTTTATCCGTCCTGGTTCCAGGTTTCATTGTTTACTCTCGGTTCTTCTGATCCCTGTGGTTACCAGAGATAGTAACACCTTCACCTGCCAATCTTATACCAAGAATAGAACCCTGAACTGTACCCTCCCTCCTCCACCTGCCCCCCTTCTCTACCCCACCTGGAGCATGTGCTCCAACCCGCAACCCTCATTAGAACCACCTGCATCTTCTACTGATATCAAGATAAAGATATTATTCGTTCAACCTGCTCTATTTACCATTAGCCCCACCCCCCTGCAGTATCTTAAACCAATAAGTATTGAACTTGANATATTATTAAAGGTCTACGACATCAGGTTTCAAAGATATCTGGATTTCTTACAAAGAACGAATACCTTTACCAAAATTGAGGAAACATTTAAAGAACCTTAAACCTATTGTTAATGAGACTGTTCACCTATTTTGAAAATAAAAACTTTATGTCTCAAACCCAAAAAAAGGAATTTTTTCCTTGCCACAAACTCCAATTTTTTCTAATCTCTAAATTCTAATCCCTATATCTTTGCAACCTAATTGTGTAAACCTTTGGTATTTCAAACTTAGATTATTTGATCTAACAAACTTCAGAGTTTAAAATTTCTAAGGTTTACGACATATTGGGTTGCAAAAATATAGGGAGTCAGAGTTAGTGACAAAGACTCAATTGCTTTATTAAAAACTCAAAAATATTTTCCCAGATTGACACAGTTGTATATTGTGTAAAAACGAGAATTGTCCCTTTAAAGAAAACGTAAACTGGCCATATCGAATAAAAAGATAAAAATCAATGGCGTAAAGTAAATATATTTTTTAATATAAATTATCCGGAGGAATTAAACCATTGCTTCACGGTCTAATTCAACCTGTAGATGCATCATAAATTAATAAAAATATTTTAGAAAACAATTTTTACAACATTTACAACCAATAAAGTGTAATTAGAGAAATTTTTATTTAAGTTATATAAAATCCAGGTTTCTATAGCTTCAGATTTAGAGTAGAGTTAGGACTCCTGGATCTATTATTTCTTGTGACAAGAGTCGAAACTCCTCTTGTTCAATGGAATCTTGAACCAAGAGTCAGAACTCCTGGTTCAATGAAATCTTGAACCTAGAGTTGGAAATCTTGGTTCAATGAAATCTTGAACCTAGAGTCAGAACTCATAGTTCAATGAAATCTTGAACCTAGAGTCAGAACTCCTAGTTCAATGAAATCTTGAACCTAGAGTCAGAACTCCTGGTTCAATGAAATCTTGAACCTAGAGTCAGAACTCCTAGTTCAATGAAATCTTGAACCTGGAGTCAGAACTCATAGTTCAATGAAATCTTGAACCTAGAGTTGGAACTCCTGGTTCAATGAAATCTTGAACCTAAAGTCAGAACTCCTAGTTCAATGAAATCTTGAACCTGGAGTCAGAACTACTAGTTCAATGACATCTTGAACCTAGAGTTGGAACTTCTAGTTCAATAAAATCGTTAACCTAGAGTTGGAACTCCTATTTGAATGAAATACACTACCTAGAGTTGGAACTCCTGGTTATGGTTCAATTCTCCGGATTAGAATAAATACATGGAAATCCTACACTTTACCTGAATGAAGCTTGAAATTAGTTCTCGGAGACTTTAGAACCGTTTCTGTGTTTCCTGGTCTTAAAGGATACAAAGAAATATTATCTGACTCCTGTGGCGAAAATTTGAAATTTGCATGATGTTCAAAAGTAAAGAAATTGAGTATTTGCCACAAACTCTGATTTTCTAATCCCTATATCTTTGCAACCAATGCCTTAGACCTTTGTTACTTCAAATTATGAATAATCTAATTTTGAAATATCAAATGTTTACATCATCAGATTGCAAAGATTTAAGGATTAGAAGATTCAAGTTCCATTGTTATGCCTAATGCTTTATTTAATGGATACTCTTAGAGCTATAGCATATGGTTCTGTTAATCTCTCTAGAAGTTGTAAGTTGTAATTAACTAGGGTTGAATTGTCATCAATTATCAAAACTCCGAACCAAGACGGAGAACAGGGAAAGTTTAGAAAAGATAAATCAGAATTCTAGTTTTCTTGTTCAGCTTCAATTTTTCTTTTGTAAATTATTGACCCGTGTCCGGGGCTGACTTTTTTCTAACAGGATAATTGACGCACAAAGACATTCCTTTTAATTATTTTGTCACATTGGACAGGGTCTTGTTCAGGAGTAATTTTCAGGCTTGTTAGTCCTGGGTTGGTCTGGTCTTATCTCTCTTCAAATCTTTTACAGGATACTTTTCGTACACATAGTAGATACAGAGTAGCTACAGAGTAGATACAGAGTAGCTACAGAGTAGATACAGAGTAGCTATCAGAGTAGCTACAGAGTTGCTACAGAGTAGATACAGAGTTGCTATATAGTAGATACAGAGTAGCTATCAGAGTAGCTACAGAGTTGCTACAGAGTAGATACACAGTTGCTACAGAGTAGATACAGAGTTGCTACAGAGTAGATACAGAGAAGCTACAGAGTTGCTACAGAGTAGCTACAGAGTAGCTACAGAGAGACTGTATAAAGGCTCTCAGACAGATTATTGTAAGTGACCCTTCATTTACAAATTGGCATGTGCAACTCACAACGGTCCTCTTTAAACCTGAGTAAAAATTATGAAGTATCCCTCTTTTCAACTTCAACACTTCTTCAGATAGAAAACCGAGGATATCTACCTCATGTTTACCATTGTGAATCGGACATGCAGGTTTACAAATGGAGGATCACTTAAAGTTAAGTCTCTAGAAAACTGATTTATATAATTTTTCTATGTATATAATTTGATAGAGATTAAAATGGTTTCCATCTAAGTTATTTAGATTTGCTTTCATCCTATACCCTCTTTCATTTTGTAGGAGACTACTTTTAATAATAAGATCAATGATTGAATTTAACCTGCTGATCTTCTTGTTGATCCCGAGTCCTGAGTTTAACCGAAACCTGAGGAGATCGGTTTCATCCCATTCTACTCCGGGTAGAGACGGATATTATGTTATTGTTAAGGTTAGGATAGATCCTGGATTATCTAATGAATATCAGGGTAGGAGCTAGAACTTCGGTGGTCTCACCACTGCTCCATCAGCTTATACAAATTCTTTGACATTTTTCTTTAATAGAAATATGAATCCGTCCATCCTCCCTCTAGTCTTAAAATCCACCGCTCAACCGAAAGGAAAATAGAGATCTTCGTTTGAAATATCCGACATATTGTAAATTCCTCAAGGTTTAAGTTGTCCCTCCACGCGTCCACGCTTCTAAAATATTCCGCTCCGCGTCAGAAAATGCGTCGCGAATTTGATCAAAAAACTTTTTACAACATTTTTCTGCGTTTAGTTCTGGTTCTGGTTCAGAAAGTATCTGATAAATGCATTTTAGACATAAAACATATTTTGAAAAAAAAGCGTACCATGACTTTAATTTTAATCACGTCTGGTTTTGTAAAATTAAAAACTTGTATATTTACGACTTTTAACCGATAATAAAGCATACTAATCAAAATTTAGATCTTTAAAATCATTTCTTCTTTCTATTTTGGTATCTATTGTAGAACTAGAACTAGAAGTTTTCAGGTTTCTCTGTTTGAATTGAATTGTAATGTTTGAATCATCATATAATCCTACCTAATCCTGAACATGACGCTGGACTACGGATTATTTATGGTTAGATTCACTCAAACCTGAGTTTAATTGAGATCCAAGTTTGGTGACATATGGTTCTCATCTCCCCTGACTCCGGGTACCTTTTTAAACAGATGTTAACTCCAGGACTAGGTTTGATGCTGTCAGGTGCATGTCTGGTCTATAAATAGATCGATACTCCTTGTTTATCCCAGACACGGCAACCCAGATCCTTTTCATTATTTCAATCCATCTGATTCATTCCTACTACTTTCAATCTAATCCATTCAATCCATTTTATCCAATCCATCCGATACATTGCTTCTCCATTTTATCCAATCCGTCCGACCCATTCCTACTACTTTCTACACAACCCATTCAATCCATTCCTACTCCATTTTATCCAATCTATCCGACCAATTCCTACACCATTCTATCTAATCCGTCCAATCCATTCTTAGGCTATTTTAACCAATCCAACCTTTTCAAACTATTCAATCTTTTATGAATCCTTTTAACCAATTCATTCTTTTCAATCTGTCCAATAGATTAGTAATCTTTTCTATTCATCTCTTCTCCATTTTAACCAATCCATTCCTACTCATTCTAACCAGTTCATTCCTACTCCATTCTACTTAATCCAACCTTCTTAAACTATAAAATCCATTCCTATTGCATTATATTTTATTATTTCTTACTCGATTAAATCAAATTTGCTCCTACTCCATTATTTAACAAAGTATTCCTACTCCATTCTCCATTTTTAAGGCTGAATGTTAGAGATCTAAGATTTTAAGTTGCTGCACTGTCAACTCTGATTATAAGAGTTTCCATTGTGTCCAGAAACCACCCTGATATCTCTGTAAAATATTTCCAATTTGCATTCTATGAAAACCATTCACCCCCTATTTATCCAACAAGTTTATTTCTATTAATATTTTTGAATCCATATTGCGTGTGGGCCCATTCAATGAATATTATACAAACCTAGAGCGGATTGTTAGGTTTATATAATGAATAAAACATTGTCCAAACCTTTTATCTGGAATTGATTGGACCTAATCTCTTCTCAATGTCCCCGCAGCTAACACTACTATTTGTTTTCTTAAATGTCAATTTTACAATTTGTCGTGCACGGCTGGTGCCAAAATGAACTATATAAACTCCTTCGGCTATTTCCTTCCTTTCCTTCCTTTCCTTCCTTTCCTTCCTTTTCTTCCTTTCCTTCCTTTCCTTCCTTTCCTTCCTTTCCTTCCTTTCCTTCCTTTCCTTCCTTCCTTTCCTTCCTTCCTTTCTTTTTCCTCTTTTTCCTTTCATTTTCTCCCTCCTATGAATGACACGGACGACTGACTTTAAAATATTCGGCTTATTTAAGGTTTTGGTTGAGTTGGTTTTTGGGTTGAAAATATCCGGTATGGAGAGGGGGTTAGGACGGATAATTAAGGAGCTAATACTCACCCTTCTCATCAGGGGCGGATAGATAAGGGGGCCGGAAACAGGGGGAATCTAGGAGGGAGGGGAAAGGTAGGTCAGAAGGGGGAAAT